AAAAAAAAAAAAAAAAAAAAACACTGAAAACTCAGTGTTCAAAGGGAGACGCGCACTGTACATGTCAAATACACACAGGGTTTTGATGACAGTACAGAAAAAAGTAAAATGGTCCAAATTGTTATGTTGATTCCACATTAAAATGATTATATTTTAGGTGTATTGGGCCAAATATATCGTTGATAGTTTTACCTGTTTCCCTTTACTTTTTTTAATGAGGTTACTCTTTTTTTTAAATGAGTAATACCGTGTTTCCCAGAAAATAAGACCTACCCAAATAATAAGCTCTAGCAGGATTTCCATCCATTTGTTAAATATAAGCCCTACCCCGAAAATAAGACCTAGTGATGGGCGTGGCTATGCAGTGTATCTGCATAGCCACACCATGCATTTCAGTGGAGAGGAAGACTTCCCCTGAAAATAAGCCCTAGTGTGTCTTCTTGAGAAAAAATAAATATAAGACAGTGTCTTATTTTGGGGGAAAGATGGTAGCTATTAAACTACTTTTAATGGGCAGCACTGTTCTAGATAAGGAGTCTACCCGTGGACTTTGTCTTCTAGAAACACCAGCAAGGAAGCTGTGAAACTCAGATCCAGGCTTCAGCGGCTGGGTGCCCTGGGGGAGGGGTGCCCCATGCTCTCAACACCTGCATTACCTTCACTGGCAGCTCCCAGGGGCGGGGCCGGCGGCGGTGGAGGTGGTGGTGGGGCCTTGGCAGCAAGGGTTCCCTCTGGCTCCTGATCTTCAGTCTCCCTGTTAACCTCCGGGGAAAGCCCCTCTTCTCGGTGGGGCATTTCAGGGAATAGCTCATCCTTGGCCTCAAAGCTTTCCTTAACAAACAGCTCCATTTTCAGCCTCGTTTCTTCATCCCCGGGAGGCTCTTTCTGGCCGTCCACACTGGCAAGCTCAGGAGGCTCTTTCTGGCCGTCCACACTGGCAAGCTCGGGAGGCTCTTTCTGGCCGTCCACACTGGCAAGCTCATTCTCTCCATTGTTTGGCAGTGGCGTCTCCCCTAAACGAGGGAAATCCAAAGATGAATGAGTTTAGAAGCATCTGGGGAGAGCCAGGGTGTCTATGCACCCATCAGAGACACGCAGACAACTTGAGAATCAGACCAGAGAAAGGGTTAGGGGAGTGGTTGAAGAAGCTTCCTCGAGGGACACTCAGCAAAGTGCTGCTTGTGATCAATAGTAAAGGGCGCCGACTGTCCACAGAAGGGACCAACGAGCACATCATTTAATGGAATAGGAAGGACACAGTCATTAAGAAAACATAATGCAGGAAGTTCTCAGGGCACGTGGGACTTAGGGGCCTCCGTGTCTCCCTTCACTTTCAAATGGTTCCGGAGAAAAGTGAGTGTGTGTGTGTGTGGGGGGGGGGTGTACAGGACAATTGTGTGGTAAAGTATTAAAAACCAGTGAATCTAAGGGGACACAATACAGCTATTCATTGTATTATTCTTTCAGCTTTTCTGAACATCTAAAAAATTTCAAAGTAAAAAATTGAGAAATGAAAAAATACATATTATAAAAAATGTCTATTTTATGGAAAACAGTTATAGCATACAGTATGTTAATTCAAAATAGGAGGCAGAAGGCCTGGCATGGTGGTTCATGCCTTTAATCCTAGCACTGTGGGAGGCCACGGTGGGTGGATCTCCTGAGCTCATGAGTTTGAAACCAGCCTGAGCAAGAGTGAGACCCCATCTCCAAAAAAAGTAGCCAGGCATTGTAGCAGGTGCTTGTAGTCCCAGGTGCTTGGGAGGCTGAGGCAAGAGAATTGCTTGAGCTCAGGAGTTTGAAGTTGCTATGAGCTATGATGCCACAGCACTCTACTGAGGGTGACATAGTGAGATTCTGTCTCAAAAAAAAGGGCCGTGCCTGTGGCTCAAGGTGTAGGGCGCTAGCCCCATATACCAGAGGTGGTGGGTTCAAACCCAGCCCCAGCCAAAAAAGAAAAAGAAAATAGGAGGCAGAAAGCAATGTAATTAGTATCATTTTAATATACGAATGTATGTGTTGTATATCTGGGGGAAACCCAGGAAACATACACTACACTATGGAGTGGTTCTTATTGTGATTAAATTATTGTTCTTTTCTCAATTTTCTACATACTGTGTATTCATAGTTTATAATTAGGTGAAAAGCAATAAATACTATTTTACAACATCCATGGAGAGCCTGGCTCTTGGCTCTGGGTCTCAGATGGGGAAGGTGAGTTCTTAGCTGTGAAGATGCTCTGAGCACCAGCTCTAGGATCCTGAAGACCGACAATCCCGTGTCAGGTTGGACCGGGCAGGATCCAGGACCCATCACAGCCTCCACCAAGTGCTGTCCAAGCACCCCAGACATAATCGGGGTGTCATGTCATTGAGGACCTAGCATAGTAGACTGGGTAGGGTAGGGAGGGCTCATTCACACTAAACCAGGGTGCCCCAGAGTTGACAGACCCTTTAAACAGGGGAGTTAGGGGGAGGTAGTGGAGGGTAGGGAGAGGGACTCAGAAATCGTGGATCAAACTGGAAGGACTGCAGGGCCCAAGGACATTCCTCAGCAAATGATCAAACCCAAAGAGAGGGTCATGGGAACACTGATTGTACAGCCATTTGGTCAGAAGTGCAGGTGATGGACCTGGGGCTGGTGGTTGGCATCTGAAGTGAGAAGCAGTGCTGTGGGCAGGAGTGGAGAGCAGTCTTGTGGGGCTACTGCCCTCAGCCTGGCTAAGCAGTCTGTGCTAAGTCGAGTTGTGTCAGAACTGAATTGAATTGTAGAACACCCAGCTGGTGCTGGGAAGCTGGTTGGTGTGTAAAAATCCTACACATTTGGGTGACCAGGAGCGTGCCGGGTGCTGGAAAACTATTTGTTTTCACCCACTTTACGGCATCCATAGAAAACTAATTCATCATTTATTTTGAAAAACAGAGACTATTTTTGACCATTTGTGTTCCCATCAGTGAAACTGGTTTGAAAGTGTTTGTAACTATTAAGAGTTTCCTCTCTGGCCCCGGCTGGTAGCCAAGGCCAACTGCAGACAGATCTGAAAGCATGTGAATAAGTGGATTAAAAAAAAATCTTCAGCTACGGTCTCAGCTACTTGGGGGGCTGAGACAAGGGAATCACTTGAGCCCAAGAGTTTAAGGTTGCTCTGAGCAGTGATGCCATGGTACTCTACCAAGGGTGACAAAGTAAGACTCTGTCTCAATAAATAAATAAATAAATAAAAATCCCCAAGAGGACAAATTGTGAGTGTGACAGCCTGGATCAGCCTAAGCTAAAGGGACCTGGGCTGTGTCCTTGTCTAGGGCTCACACCTCCCTCTTGCCCAGACCAGACTGATCTAAAGGGACCTGGACTGTGTCCTTGTCTAGGGCTCACACCTCCCTCTTGCCCAGACCAGACTGATCTAAAGGGACCTGGGCTGTGTCCTTGTCTAGGGCTCGTACCTCCCTCTTGCCCAGACCAGACTGATCTAAAGGGACCTGGGCTGTGTGTCCTTGCACAGGGCTCGCACCTGCCTCCTGACTCTCCTGCCGTCTTTTTCTCTCTTCCGCCCGCCGCTTGATCAATGCCAAGGCTTCGATGCTGTCTGCAATCTTCTTCTGCTCTCGGCTCTCCCACTGCTGTCTCTCTTCCTTCTCGGCTGCGTGCCCTCCCCTGGCCCAGGCCTCTGCACAAGCTCTGTTTAATAAATAAAGAAGGTGTGGATTTTTACAAGTTAAAAGTAAGTTCCAAACATTTGCCATCTGACCAAACTTGTTCATTTTCTTTGAAATTGAAACAAAGGGCATATCACACAGGTAGCTATAAGGATAAAAATCAGCACATGTACATTTTAATATTTAAAGTACAGTGGATGGCAAAGCCTTCTGAGATGTGGTAACAAAAGCACAAGTGACAAGAAAAAAATAGAGGAATTGGACCCCACCAAAATTTAAAATTCTCATACGGCTAAAAAATACCATCCATAAAGTAAAAAGACAACCCGCAATATGGGAGACGATATTTACAAATCATATATCTGATAAGGGTCTTAGGCCTAGAAAATATAAACAATTCTTGCAAGTCATTAATAAAAAGACAGTACAATTTAAAAATGAGCAAAGGTTAAAGACAAGCCACAGACTGGGAGAAAATATTTTTCAACTGACGAAGGGCTTGTATTCAAAACATACAAAGATGTATTAAAACTCAAAGATGAGGAAACAAACAACACGATTAAAAAAACTGGGCAAAAGATCCGGACACCTCACCCCAAAACACACACAGACGGCAAATAAGCATGAGAAAAATGCTCCACATCATATGTCAGCAGGGAAGTGCAAATTAAAACAAGATGACATTAGGCCTCAATGCGAATGGCTAAAATCCAGAACCCTGGCAATGCCATGTGCTCCCACCATGTTTATACTCTCTGCTCCTCGGCACTGCCTGGGTGAGGCAGCGGCTCCCATTGGTTCACTCCCGCTGGGAGCCCAGCACTTGTTACTCACAGTTACTCTTGTATTACTGTCATTATCCCCACTTTACAGATGAGGAAAGTAAGGCCGAGGGAGGTGAGTGAGCTCACCCCAAGTAACACAGCTCGTGGGAGCAGAGCTGGGCTTGGATATCAGGCCCCTATGTGGCTTCCTGTTGCTGTCCTGCCACCTCTGGGCCTGGGACTTAGGGAGCCAATTCAGCTTCTGCGGAACTTCCCCAAGTCCTTTGGGTTTTCTTACCTGGCTAGAGTGGAGTGGAGGCTCTATTCGAAGTATTTTTTTTTTTTTTGAGACAGAGCCTCAAGCTATCCCCCTGGGTAGAGTGCCATGGCATCACAGCTCACAGCAACCTCCAACTCCTGGGCTCAAGTGAGTCTCCTGCCTCAGCCTCCCAAGTGGCTGGGACTACAGACGCCCGCCACAACGCCTGGCCATTTTTTGGTTGCAGCCGTCATTGTTGTTTGGCGGGCCCGGGCTGGGGATTCGAACCTGCCACCTTAGGTGTATATGGCTGGCACCTTAGCCACTTGAGCCACAAGCGCCGAGCCATTTTTTTTTTTTTTTTACTTTATTGCCCTCAGTAGAGTATCGGCGACTGAGGCGACTGAGGCTACTCTTGCCTCAGCCTCCAGAGTAGCTGGGACTACAGGCGCTCGCCACAACGCCCAGTTGTTTTTTTGCTGCAGTTTGGCTGGGGCCGGGTTTGAACCCACTACCCTCGGTATATGGGGCCAGCGCCCTACCCACTGAGCCACAGGCGCCACCCAAAATAATTTGTTAGTTTGATTTAAATTGGTCAATTTTCAAACATATGCATTACGAGCTACATTTCTTTTGAAATGCTGTAGAGTGCAAAATTCAGATTGCTCTTCTCATCAAGCCGTCTGCACTACTGAGGTTGTATTCTAAGTTAGAATTGCTAAATTAACCTAAATTACAAGTAAAATTAAGATAACAAAGATAAAGGTAGTGAAAATAAACCTAGCAGTCCAGAGTACAAAGTTTCTAATATTTAAAAAAAAAAAAAACTCTTACGAAACAATAAAAAAAGTACTTCAAAAAGAAAGGTGGAGGCGACGCCTGTGGCTCAAAGGAGTAGGGCGCTGGCTCCATATGCCGAAGATGGCAGGTTCAAACCCAGCCCCGGCCAAAAACTGCAAAAAAAGAAAAAAAGAAAAGAAAGGTGGAAACAGCAGCCATGCATGGAATCTTCACAAAGGAGGAAAGATAAATGGCCCAAAGGAAAAAACCATCAACCTCATCAGTTACCTGAAAGCGCAAATTTAGAGCAATGAGATGCCATCTTCACCCATCAACTAACTTGGCCAAGGTTTCTTCTACAAGGCTGTGTCTGGTGAGGTTATAACTTAGTACAAACTTCCTAAAAACATTAATAAGAGCTTTTTCAAAGTCGCAAACCACATTCTTTAATCCAGTAATACCACATAGAGAATTCTATCCCAAGGAACTCATCAGTGAGGCCAAAGGTTTTACATATGCATCTATCAGAGGAATATAAAAACCTATGAATAAGGGCTCAGATTCCTATTGTAGGCAATTAAGTGGCCATTAAACCTGTTTCCAAAGAATAGTGATGTGTGAAAATGCTCAAAAATCAGAACGTTTTAAAGTTTAATGCATATATTAAGCATGCACAGCTATTAAATGTTAAAGTGCAATCAAAATGCTTTTTTCTCTTCTTACCTGTCCTTTGGAAAAACCGGTCTATCATCCAGGTACGTTAAGTGTTTTAGCCGAACAGTGGCTATCCTCCGGTAATTCGGAATGTTCCTGATGACTGGGTTTCCCATCAAATTCAGCACACGCTGTAAGAAGACAGGCAGGATCAATGGGCGGTGCCTGTGGCTCAGTGAGCTGGGTGCTGGCCCCATATACCGAGGGTGGTGGGTTCAAACCTGGCCCTGCCCAAACTGAAACAAGAAAACAGCCAGGCCTTGCGGCAGGCACCTGTAGTTCTAGCTACTCGGGAGGCAGAGGCAAGAGAATCACCTAAACCCAAGAGCTGAAGGCTGCTGTGAGCTGTGACACTACTGCACTCTACCCAGGGTGATAAAGTGAGACTCTGTTTCTTAAAAAGAAAAAAAAAAGAAGAAGAAGAAGAAGACAGGCAGGATCAACTGATTACTAAATAGGATATGATTAACTTATATGTGCCGTTCACGAAGATAAATAAAATTATTTTACTTTTTTTAATTGGGAAACATATCATTCCATAAAAATAGAATAAATCTTCCCCAAATTGATTTTCTTGAGCAGAACAGAAGTGCTGATATCATGTTCTCGTGACCTGAGTGGAGAGATCAGGTCATTTCTCTTGTGATAACGGAACTGTCCAGATGATTGAGCAGCCTTTTCCTCTTGAACTTTAGATCTGAGATCTCCTTGTCCTTCCAGAACAATATTGGAAAACATTTCCGGAGGACTCTCCCAAGTGCAGTTGATTGTATTAGTTTTGCTACCCCATCTCTTTTACAGAAATTAATCTCAGTCTAATTGATCATTTTCTTTCCTTCAGAGCCAGGAACCATTTTAAGAAAACAGACACAGCTGCTGGGCAGATGAGATGAACAGTGACTAAGGGAAAGGACAGACAGTGCCCACACACTGACATCGAGTCCTGCCAGCCGGGGGGGGGGGGGGGGTTGGGGGGGGGGGGGGGGGGGGGGGGGGGGGGGGGGGTGGGGGGGAGCTTGTGTGGGATGATGGAGGAGGGGGTGTCACAGATCTCCTAGAAGTCAGGTGGGCCCAGGAAAGAGAAAGCAGTTCCCAATACCAAGCTGTCACCAGCCCCCATTTTAAAATCCTATCGCCTCCTCTCTTGCCTTAAGAAACTCGAAGGTGAGTAATTTAAGGCAACATGTGGAGAACCATTTAAAAATCAGTTTGCCTAAACTGATTAAATACTTATATCTAAAGTAGGTTTGGGGGTGGCGCTGTGGCTCAAAGGAGTAGGGCGCTGGCCCCCTATGCCGGAGGTGGCGGGTTCAAGCCCAGCCCCGGCCAAAAAAAACTGCAAAAGGAAAATAAATAAAAAGAATAGTATTCTTAAAAATAATAATACTAAAGTAGGTTTTGTGCTGGGTGTGGTGGCTCACGGTCTGAGAGGCTGAGGCAGGTGGACTGCCTGAGCTTAGGAGTTCTAGACCCACCTAGTAAAAAAAATTAGCAGGGCATTATAGTGGGCACCTGTAGTCCCAGCTACTCCTAAGGCTGAGGCAGGAGGATCACTTGAGCCCAACAGTTTGAGGTTTCTGAGAGTTGTGATGACACCATGGCACTCTACTCAGGGTGACAAAGTGAGACTCTGTCTCTAAAATAATAATAATGATAAAATAAATAAAACTTGTTTTTTGTTATTGGAGAAGACAAATACGTTTTAAATGAGTTAGTTTAGCATTCCCCACGCCATCTCCACCATTCTTGCTTTGTTTTCAAGTGACCTATCCTGCAGAGGGCAGGAGAAATATGCCCCGGGGCAGCCAATAAAGGGGTACCCAGTGTGTGAAGAGTTTAAAGCAATCACAAAACAACTGTAAGGCAACTGCTTTTGCTATGGGCTGAATGGTTCCTCCTCAAAATTCTTATGTTAAAGTCCCAACCACCGGCTC